GGATTTGAACTGCCGAACTTTTTCAGAGTTCTCTGAAAAGAACTCTGTTCCAACTGCCAATTGCCTTCTATTAACACGCTCTGATGCTAAGGAGTTAGACATTCTACTCCCCCTCCCCATCTGAAAAGAACTCTGTTCCACCTGCCAGTTGCCTCACATTCTGTTACCTCAGTTCAAACTGGCAGACGTTCCACTCCTTCACTTTGTGCACTCTGGGGCTCCTTATAGTACTAAACATCAGTACTGCACCAATATCTCTATGCCTTCCACCTATGGAACCACTTCCGGACTCAAGGTGGCGGGAGCGATATTCCCTTAAGTGTTTCAATCACCAACTACTACTGAGCCAACAGATCGAACCGGATTGCTCCTGCATTGCCTGATCATATAGTTTCGTCATGAAGCATGGGTATCCAGCTAGTCAGCTATAATATGCTGAATTTATTTCATACATACACAATATCGTTGAGTTCCAGGCGCGTGTCCGGGGGAGGGTTGATGAGAACATAGGAGAGTGTGTTTTGGTGGTCGTTCATTTCATCTGGAAGAAAAGAGTTGGTCAAGCGTCCATCTGGCCAGGCATAGCAGCTGAAAACTGGCAAACTTTCAGGGCTATAGAACTATCTGAGTATCTCAATCATAAATATTTACCAGGTTTTTCCTACACCTCTTTCCTGTCTATCAACAGTAGATCTAGGCCCATGATGGCACATGAGCCAGAGGTGGCACACAGAGGCCTCACTGTGGGCATGTGCACCATCTCCAGCTGGTCTTTTGGTTTCCAGCCTGCAGTTGCATGCTGACCAGCTGGTCTTTGCAGGCACCAGAATGCTGGAAAATGGCCGGAAACAGCCCGAAAAACGGCCAAAACCAGGCCATTTTGGGGGCATTTTCTGGGCTGTTTTTGGCCCATATTGAGGGCATTTTTCAGCCCACTTTCTAGGCCATTTTTTCAGGCTGTTTTTGGTTCCGAAACATGGCCTGCAAATGGCCAAAACCAGCCAAGAAACAGGCCTGTGCATGCCAGCCAGCTGATCTTTGGGTTTCTGGCGCTTCCCTCAGTGCCAAAAAGGTTCGCCATTAATCTAGGCTCAAGGATAACCCTTGGACCTCACACCCTCATTTTTCATTCTGGATAAAGATCATTTAGGGCGCATCCCCTTTCCCAAAGGGAAGTGATAGGGTCAGCATTCCTCACTGGATCTGAGAAATGGGGACGCTGCCTATGTTAGGACGCTCCACATTGAAGCTGGGGACAGAAACAGGACAATGAGATAATGGAGGAGGTGGTGGATGTATCAGAATGGCACAGTTGCTCACACCCAGCAACAGGTATTTTAAAAAGCCTGAAGCCAACATCTATTTAAGGCCAACCCACTTGGTTCTTATATCTTTCGAGCAGATTTTCTCATCTCTTGCAGATTGGGGCAAATAAATTCCGAACAGAATCTTAGAAATATTAGTGAGATGTAATCATGCATAAGAGCCGAGGTGGCGCAGTGGTTAGAGTGCAGCACTGCAGGCTACTTCAGCTGACTGCAGTTCAGCAGTTCGGCTGTTCAAAACTCACCGGCTCAAGGTTGACTCAGCCTTCCATCCTTCCGAGGTGGGTAAAATGGGGACCCGGATTGTTGGAGGCAATATACTGACTCTGTAAACTGCTTAGAGAGGGCTGAAAGCCCTATGAAGCAGTATATAAGTCTAACTGCTATTGCTATTGCTAACTGCTATTGCTATGGAACCTTTTGGTTCCCTCCAGAAATTCCTTGGGGAAGGCCATGGATGGAAAGCAAAAGGGGTTGCCACAAAGAAGAGAGGAGGTCAACCTATTCTCCAAAGCATCTGAAGGCAGGAGAAGAAGCAATGGATGGAAACTAATCAAGGAGAGAAGCAACCTAGAACTAAGGAGGAATTTCCTGACAATGAGAACAATTAATCAGTGGAACAATTTGCCTCCAGAGGTTGTGAATGCTCCAACACTAGAAGTTTTTAAGATGTTGGATCACCATATGTCTGAAGGGATGTAGGGTTTCCTGCCTAAGCAGGGGGTTGGACTAGAAGACCTCCAAGGTCCCTTCCAACTTTGTTATTCTTTTAAATACCTACTGCTACTTCCCCAAAAGTTAAGATCAACATGGGTTGGTATCTCCACTCCTACACAGAGCTCTTCTGCTGAGTGGTGGCAGGAGTGAAACCTTTGGATCAGAAGTTATACTCAAGGTCTAGATCAGGGGTGTCAAACTTTGTTGGGCCTGAAATATTTTGGCAATATTCCGTGGCTTACCTGGCGAAAGCTAGTGGCAACGGCCTCTTTAACAAGGTCAGATGGGAGGCAAAAGGTTGGCTATAGATGATAGGCTTCCAGGGCTCAAGATCTGTATGAACGCCATCTCTCTTCAGGCATGGTACAAGGAGGAGTGGAATTCAGCTGGTTCGCACCGGTTCGCGCGAACCAGATGTTAATTTTACATCCAGTTCGCGTGAACCGGATGTTAATTTTACATCCGGTTTGCCGAACCGATAGTTGCAAGGACTGGCTGCCCCTGCCCATCACTCCCCTCCAAGCAGTCTTTATATGGCACGTTCATCATGCCAGGTAAGTGCATGGCCCAAGCGGAGGCTCTGGGAGGGTGAAAAACGGGCATACCAGAAGTACAGAAACAGGTGCATTTCTGGCTTCTGGAGGGCCTCCAGAGTCCTGGGGAGGCTGTTTTCGACCTCCCAGAGGCTTGGGTAAGCTTCTGGAGTCTGGGGAAGGGAAAAAAGGTTCCACCACAAAACCGCGCTCGACTAAACCGCGCACGACTAAACTGCGTCACTGACGTCATCAACAGGGCGACAACAGTGCGGAGACAGAAGCACGCTGTAAACCCTAAACCTAAAATTAACCCCTAAACCTAAACCTAATCCTAACCCTTAACCTAAACCTAATCCTA